GGACTGTCACATTTGACATTTTCAGCAAAATTACTTATTTGAATGTAAAAACAAATTATTATTGAGCTGTTTTTTCTATTGAACATTTAAGAGCTGTTTTTTAAATACGATTTACTATTATTACCATTAAATATACTCGTAGGTACACGACAAGAGCGTTATCCGCAGTTTTAAGAGAAGTTTGGCCAGGAGCAATTTATTACATAAAGTAATTTTTCTGATCTTAGCTCGCCGATCGCAATGCCTTCTAGATTCTGAAGGCAAACTTCAAAATTTGTGGCGAGTTTGTACCCTTTAGTTCGACTTATCTGATTTACATTATAAAACCGATATTATAAGTTATTCATTATATTTAAAAAACAGGGTTAAATGACATAAATATGACATTCAAGCAATTTTATTGCATGAATCGTACAAAGGGCCATTTTAGATTAAAAAACCGCGGTGTGCTATTAAATTAGAGGGTGGAAAATTGAGAAGAGGGAAAAAATGCAGCCTTTTCAGTTTTTTAATTGTATCTCGAAAACGAAGCAAAATTTCGCTATAGTTCATAGGAAAAATTATTTATAAAATTGAATTTTCCATCGAAATGGCTTATTTAAAAAATTTAAAACGAAAATGTTATGCAAAAAATCGTTAATTCCAGAAAAAAGCAAAAAATTCGATTTTTTATTTTTTTACTTTTTTGCCTCTAGTTTTTTTTGAGTAGATAGGTATAGGCATTGCTTCAAAAAAAAAAAAATAGATAAAATTTCCTTCAAAACGAGGTTGTTTGGATGAAAATTGACTGATATCCTATGGCCGTTCAACAATTAGCCAATTTTTCGATATTCGTCGCGTTTACCCTTATACATTTTGATTATCATTTTATGCAAAAAAGGAAGGAAATAAGACGTTCAAGGATTTTCATCACATACTTGTTTGAAGGGTCATTAAACATGAAAAAAACCGCGGGGTGCTATTAAATTAGAGGGTTGAAGTTGAAGATAGGGGTGAAGATGCATTTTTGCATTTTTTTAAATATAGCACGAAAACGAAGCTAAATTTCGGTACAGGTCATAGGAAAAATTTTGTAGAGAATTGAATTTCCCATCAAAATGGCTTATTTAAAAAATTTGAAAGAAAAATTTTATGCAAAAAACCGTTAATAAACAATTTTAAAAAAGCAAAAAATAAGATTTTTTGATTTTTCTCACTTTTTTAACTCTTTGTAAAAATTTTTATTTATTATTAACAAATAAAACTTTTGAAGTAATTTTTTAGTAAGCAAAGAACTAATTTGTTGTAAAAATAATAAGAATTATAACCATTATGTTAAAAACGACGAAAATCTAAAAAATATTTAAGTTTGATTGGTTACAACTCGGTCAATATTACCCCAAAAACTTTTGACAACGCATCATTTTAAAGCGAATCTTATCTAGTTCTTTTGTACAACAATTTTCTTTGCTTACTTCTACTTAAAAATAATTAGTAAAAAATGTTAAAAAAATTAAAAATACTTATTTTTGGCTTTTTTTAAAAATTGTTTATTAACGATTTCTTGCATAAAATTTTCCTTTTAAATTTTTTAAATAAGCCATTTCGATAGGAAATTCAATTCTCTAAATAATTTTTCCTATGAATCACAGCGAAATTTTGCTTCGTTTTCGAGCTACAATTAAAATACTGAAATGGGTGCATTTTCACCCCTATCTCCAATTTCTACCCTCTAATTTAATAGCACTCCGCAGTTTTTTCATCTAAAATGACCATTTGAACTATTCATGTAATAAAATATCTTGAATGTCCTAGTTCCTTATAAAATCCTATAATCTCATAGCCTATTGTTGCTACATTTGTAACAGCTGTTTTAATTGTGACGTTTTTCGCTATCAGCTATTATCAATTTGTAGAAATACATAGTTAATTATACATATAAAAATGCAATACCTGCAACTAATTTAATTATCATTTCTAGATTTTTTAGTGCAAACTACAATTAATAGTGCACAACTGAATTACATTAACATAAGATACAGAATGGCATTTACTTCAACCATTCTCTTTACCGGACTCTTTGGAGCACATCTCAGTAACAGTGATAACGTGTATGATAAGTGACATAATTTGGCCAATTACATTAATTAAAAACAAGTGCCTCATATAAATTAAATGTCCAAATAAATATCCCATATGACATGCTATATATTATTTTATCGTACATTTTTGTTGATGCGGTTTATCTGTATTACAATTATTTAACAAATGTAAAACAAACAATTCTGAACCAGGCGTAAGTATGCTCATCTTATTTCGAATTTTACTACAGTTCGTGCACGAAAAATGTTCTTATATTTAACTGTTACAGGGAAGAATCTAGGTATTCTGTCCCCTTGAATAAATATAATATTTTACCCAAGCGTCACTAGAAACAGATATAGTTTTGGATTTTTTTAAATATTTACCAGAAAGTCTTTCTGAGTAAAAAATATTATATGTTTTATGCAACAAAATCAATAACATACCAGCAATTTTAAAATGAAAGGAAAGCTAATAACCAACGTTCATATAAAAACCAAAACGCATATAACTACAAATATTATTTTACAATTTTGCAGTTTCATAAAAAATAACGTTCTGCTGTTTATTTTATCAAATTATTTTAATATTTATTTATTCAATTCAATTACACATTTTGTACTTTAACGAAATGTTTCCTCCTACAGTACAATATATTAGCTGGATTTTTTTTGTTTTCCTTTTCTTAGCATATAGTGCTAACTTTTAAATTTTGTCCTCCTAGAAACGGTCCTGAACTATTGGCATTTACAGCATAAGCGAATATTTCAGAGTAAAATAAATTTAAAACATTCATTGGCATGCCACGGCACATAAACCGTACTCTTGTTTCGAATATTTTGATGTCAACTTTGCATATGGCAGCGGCAAATATTCAATAACATCATAAAACAAACACATAAAATATATATTATGTTTACAAAATTTTCCTAGCATGACGCCATTAGGTGCATGCGGCTGTAAAGAAATTTATATAGAACTTTTATAGATCCCGAGCTGTTAGATAAAAATTTTTAAGTGACACCTGTCCAAAGTTGATACACGGGCAAACAACTAATCAAGGAATACAATTTTTGTGTCACTAATAACATGAATTATTCATAGGTTTGTTGGACGGTTCAAATTTGATAATGCGTTTTAGTATGTTAAAAATAAATCCGGATTTCTTAAAATGTGAAAAATTTTATTATACGTTATTTATTTATATATTTTCTTTTTCTCTCTTTATTTGGGTATTTTGCTAATTGGAAAAAAATTTAAAGTTAAGGAAAGGAATACTTTTTTGCACAATTTTTTATTTGTTTGCTTTTTCTGATGTGAAATTTTTACGCAACAATTGTTTCATGAAAATACTGATACTTTTCACACATTTAAATTTGTTTCAAAGGTCGAAAAATACCCCGAGAAAAAGTGAATGAACTGAAATTATAACACAAATAAATAGTTTCATTTTTTCCATTTCTGTCCCCAATATCTTCTACTTCTAACGCGATCGTATATATATAAGTATTAATATAAACACAGTTTAGTCTTATCTTTTCTTATTTTTTAAAACCTTTGCAACAGAAAATATTACAACAAAAGCAATTAAGATAAAGTCAGATATGTCAACAGGATATCTGGCTAATTTCTCGAGAAAATTATAACTAAATTAGTTATCAACGCGATAAAAAATGAAACATTACGAGATAAAGGAAAAGGGAACTCTAGTTTTATTTGTAAGCATCTGTTTCATTTTTTACCAACTTTGGTATTGGTATTGCAAAAAAATATTCTAAAATGCAGTACTTGTTCTATAAAATGCTTCAAATTCACCAATAAGAAGTGTTCTTGCAACATTTTATTCTAGTTTCTTGTGTCAAAAGTTGAATTTAATTTCTGCCACTTCCGATGTCTGAAAAAAAATTTCCCTTGCAGGTATAAGAAATATTTGTCTGTCGATTTTTTACATAAGCAAAAATATTACCTAATGAAAATATAAAAAAAATTATATGCCTTCAATAGGTGGCGTTTCCGTAATATTTATTTCCTCTCTAGAAAAACAGAAAAGATCTAAAATTATTTACCGCATTTGAGCGCTCTCAAGCTCTTGTATAAAAAATCGAATTAACTAAGTGTGTTTTTTTGCGTTACTAAATTGTAAAACCAAAAGTTACACTAATTTCCTCTCAACTACATAATGTCTACATCATCTTTCTTTATCCAACCAGCCAAAATTTTTACAAACATAAGACAAAATAAATAAATAGGTAACGAGATAATTCCCATTTTTATATGTAATGGAGACAAATGTTATTTCTATTAGTACAGAATGGTAAGTCAATTTAATACTTATCTTTCTTATCTTTTGCATATAACTGTTTATCTGAAAAGTAATCCTCTTATTCACATGATAACAACGAAAGTCAACAGAATCGTACAAAAATGATGTCACAACCAGCAAACTAAGAAACATGGTAGGTATGCGTAATAAAGGAAACCAGTACAATATTTCTCTTTAAAAAAATTTGAGAAAACTAAATTTGGACTTTGAACAGGTAGGTTACATTACCGGTAAACAGGAAAATATTATTTGCAAGATACTACACAACATATGCATCATTTCTTAACTCTTTTGGTGCAACAATATTTGAACCAATAAGACCTACAACGCTCGTTCGAAATGGAGAGCTGTAATTGGTCGAAATAACTGAAAGTAGGCAGACGACTATGTCGCTTTCGATGTAAGTAAAGAAAACTATGAATACCTCGTATGGTGTTTGACCAATAGTATTAAAACTTTACGAAAGCACCACAATCGGTGTTCAAATCGCTGTGTTAAGTTAGACGCCGAAAACCGGCGGAAATATTGAAGTCGAATGACTATTTTTAGTTCTCTTATTCGGTTTAAAAACAAAATGTGTACATTACGTCGACAAAAAATAAAATCTTGCACTCACATTCAAAATATTTCAATAGGCTGATAGCGCCGTCTTGGGCAGAGAGAAAAATACCAAAAAATCCAATGTCACAAGTTTATTGGAGGAGGGAACAAACACTTCGATTAAAAATCGAGCTTCGACAACAGTATGGAAAAAACTCCCGACTCCCGATCGAGTGGCACGCTGTCGTCGTTAGTCCGCAGTTCTCGTAGCAGTTCCAAATACAACACACACACCACAGTTCAGATGTTTTATTTATTTAAATAGGAATAGGCGCCGCGACGTCCAACAATATTAGTACACCTCGCAGTGAAGACGCGGTATACACACAGAGTTGTATATTGTATGATAGTACAAGTATAGAGGAGGCTATTGTATGTAATAATAGTGCACGCCTCGGAACAGACACACTGATTCTGAGAAAGCTTCGGCGGGCAAGCTAAGCGTTCAGGCGATAGCGAGGGACTGTCTGGTCGCGGAGTCGAGGCGTCGCGCTTCGTATTCGCGGATCGCGCAAGCCCCGGGGGGGCGGCGCGGAGGGGGGCGACGGGAAGCGGATGGACGGACGCGGCAGGAGTTGCGCAATTCCTACAACCCCCCCGATATGTACGCGTATATATCGCCGCCGCCGCCGCTCGCTGCTCCTCCGCGCTCGACCCCAACTAATTACGGAAAGCCCCGCCGGTCGGCCCATGGAGGAGCACAGCCCGAGACGCTCCGTCACCACCAAGACGGAAAGAAGACACGCAACTGGAATTTCCTATTTGCGAGGGGGTAAGGTGGACAGGGTGGCCGATAATTCGACGTGAGTAACTCTCACTTAAAGCCAATAGAATCATGTTTCAAAAATCCAATTTAATATTTTGAAGTGTACAATTCAATTAAGATGGAAAAGATAATGTCATCTTTCTATGCAATTACAATAATTGCAGTGCATTGCACGCTTGCTTTCTTTTATAACAGAGAAACATTTGGTAACGTTTCTTAAATATGGCCATAATTTTTTAAATATTTGCCTCCTCAGAGTGTTCTTCAAGGATCTAAAAGCATGATAATCAGAAGAGCAAGGATGTACAGAAACTGTTGAAAACATGTGAGATTTTACCACATAGACAGAAACAAAGTACAAAATTTACAGAATTCGCTACCAAGCAAACCTCCGACAATTTGAAAATGAACGTAAAAATAAAACACCTCCATTACTTGTAAATAAACGATTTTATGTATTTATACAAAATCTGTAGAAAGCTTTTCAGAAAAGTGCCTGTAGAATATTTAAACTATTTTACAACATCTAGTGCAAAAAGAGAAATATAGGGTTATCCCAATTTGACGAAAAAAGAGTCGCCCTGTTGCTCGAAAACGATAAAATATACCACCCTGTATTTCTACCACCTATATCCAGAATCACAAACCATCCCTGAAAACATATCCTCAAAACTTAAATACTGAATGTGAAGTATTTAAGTATTTACTTAAGGTCAAATCTAATGCAATTGGTTCTGACGAAATACATATAGATTTCATTGTTTTGTGCTGCCTTTTTCTTTTAAAATACATTTGTCACATAATAAATTATAGCTTGGAATTTTCAGTTTATCCCCATGCTTGGAGAATATCGAATGTTATTCCTCTTCCAAAAAAAAAAAACACACTCAGAGAACTAATAGATTTAAGACCTATTTCTATTCTTCCTGCTTTATGTAAAATATTAGAGTACATTGTAAAAGATCAAATTATGAATGATCTAACTATTAATAACATACTTGAACAGTCTGGTTTTCGAGAGGTACATAGTTATTCTACTGCTTTATTAAATGTCACAGACCATATTTTTAGGGCTATAGATTCTGGATTATGTTGAATTTTAGTTTTACTCGGCTATTCGAAAGCATTTGACACAATTAGTCATGACATTTTTGAAAACATTTTAATGTTTGCTGGTTTTGATATATCTGCAGCACAATTTATTTCCAACTATTTAGTAGGTAGACAACAAAGGTACTACTTAAAAACGATATTTCGAATTAAATTAATACTAATTGTGGAGTGCCTCAAGGATCCATATTGGGACCTACGTTGTTCTCATTGTATACATCCTTGTTCCCTAATTTTCTAAAGCACTGTAAAATTCAAATGTATGCAGATGATACTCAACTATTCTATTCGTTTCATCCTAATGATATTTAAAATAGCTGTATTATAATTAATAGTGAACTCGAAACACTTCGTCGAATTTCACTTGAGCACTCGTTACGTTTAAACCCCACAAAATGTGTTACTTTGCTTTTTGCTAGTCGGGTAAAATATGTCCAACTATTACCCGAATGTAACTGTTGATAATGTTCAGTTAGAAGTTAGAAATGAAGTTAAAGTTTTGGGTCTTACTATTGATAGCGACCTTAGATTCAATAAACATATATCAAACTGTGTAAAAAAATACATTATTAATTTAAAAATATTATACAAATCCAGACATATCTTAAGTGAAAAACTAAAAATTTTACTTTGCCAGTCTTTGGTTTTATCCGTGTTTAATTACGGTGATACTGTTTATGGTCCATGTTTAGCTCAGGCGACATTTCAACGAATTCAGAAAATTCAAAATTACTGCCTTAGATTTATATATGGTATTAGAAAGAGAATTAGTAAGACACAAGCTAATGAATACAAAATGGTTGGATATGAAAAACACCCGTCTACATCACAGTGCTACTCTCTCTCTCTCTATGAGTATCATTTTAAATAAATCCCCCCAATATTTGTACAATAAAATCTGATTCCGAACTAACGTTCATAATTTGAATACCAGATTTAAAGGTAATTTAACCCCTCCTTCACATAAAACTGCAACATTTGAAAGATCGTTCAGTTACAATATACCAAAAATTTACAACGCCCTACCGTTTCCTCTCAAATCGCTGTCTGTCAGTTTAAATATATATATATATATATTGCACTCATATAATTGTTTCGCTTGCGTATCTATTTGTCGATATCTTATTACTTTTCTTTTTACTATATACAGGGTCGGAAAGTACCGATGGTCCATCTGCCGTTACGTGAGAGCGATAAAGTCATAGAAATCCGTGCGATAGAGAAAGATGGCTATAATGAAGGCGTCTAATAGTCACCGCCCATTTCGCCCTTCCACAAATAAGAAGTGGATCTTATTTGTGGAAGGGCGAAACGGGCGGTGACTATGAGACGCCTTCATTATAGCCATCCTTCTCTATCGCATGGATTTCTATGTCTTATTTTATCGCTCTCACGTAACGGCAGATGGACCATTGGTACATTCCGAACCTGTATGATGTGTATGTATGTATTTAGTATTTAAAGTCCACTCCAATTCCTTCTCCTTATGTACATATCAACAACATTCTACCACGTCATTGTAACAATTTGTCCCTTTTTCTGCACACTTACACATCGACAGATCCTTATAAATAAAAATATCCAAAATGTTAAGGTTCACAATTTTCCTCTGTAATCTTGGACCCAGCGGTGGCGACAGAACGCTATGAAAGTTTATACTGCCTATTTTTAACACTACCGATTAATTTCTAAGGTTTTTTAATCTGGTTTTAAATATTTGCCTTCTCAGTGTTCTTCAAGTGCACAAAAACATTAAATTTTACCACATTGACGGAAAGAACATATAAAATTGGAATAACACTCACTTATTATCAAAGTTTCAATGTAACTACGAGATATTTCAAAAAGTAAACTTGACACATTTTGAAACATATAACTCAGACGTACATATTATTACATGTCGTTTATTTCCGCAATGGAAATTTCTTTCGATACACCACCCACAGGCTGCACATTTTTAATTGAGAAAGGAATGTTTTTGGTTGTAGCTTAATCCCATCATCATTCTAAGTCTTTACCCTTCCAAATTTATTTCAAGGATATAACGCACAAGGGTGACAGTCTCTAGTCGACTATAGTGAGAGAAAGCCGTCGTGGGTAAAGACAGCAGATACATTCAAAATTTTATACTCGTTTTATTTTATTTTCGAGTTATTTTTTTAGAATACCGTCGGAAAGCTGTCGCGAACGGACTAAATTGTAATACAACATAAAATAATAAATTAATTAGTATTTATCTTATTTTTACTATTTTGTTATTGTCAGAAATATTGTCAAATAGTGAATAAAAAAAGTTATTAAGGTCCGAAATCAAATATGAGAGAAGGATTAGGTAAAAAGGTAAAAAGATATTTTAGGCTGTCAGGATTTACAGAACTTCGTAGAAGCAGTAATCTGTCGGATTAATGATCTTTTTTTATAGCTGACGTTTTCTTTGCGTTAAAACTGTTTTTATTTAATTTATTGTTTCTATTTAGAACTCGATAGTAAACCTTCCTCAAGGCTATAACACCTACCGTCCAGTGTGGCATTTTTCCTGGCGAAACACCAACTGGGATGGTGTCAGCATACCTTCTGCTATCCAGAGGATAATTATTTTCTAACGCTGTCCAATTAAAGTTCGTTATTATTACAATATCAATTTCAAAGGGTTACAAATGGTCGCAGTCTGATTTGTTGTTTGTAACATTATCGCAGTTTGGCTACATGAATGTGTATATTTTGCAAGGTGTCTTTAACTTCATCATTCCTAAATCCCTGCCATCCCAAAGCATCCTTCAAGTGTAATAATCTGATAAATAAGAAAAATAATAAGGCTAAGTATGTACGGAGAATGCTGGAAATGTTTGGAAATTCACGCTCGAAATGGGAGCAGTGTACAGTGTTAAAATATACTTTTTTTGATGGAAGGAAATAACGGATTTACTAACTTAAACGACTACCAAACATACAACCATCAAGCACTTGCTTTTCCTTTTCCCCATGTAGATCTTAGAGAAGGATGAATAAAACGATATGTGCTCCATTGTAGAGAAGACCAAATGAGAAGAGAAATTCGAGCAAAACCTGTTTTTTTTTTCTTCCAAAAATGCTCTATTTAAAAAAATGGTTCACGAAGACGGATTTATGGACGTCTAATTATTTATAAACTCACAATCGGAGATGTGCGTTGTTGCTTGAACTCATAGTGAAGATGTATGATAAAACAAAGGGTACCTATCTGTAAAATAATCCATCTGAGTAAAAAATTTACATCTCTGCTTTTGAATGAACGCTCCTCTATTATTAAGGAGTATCAAAACCTTAAACAAAAAAATATGTTCCCTTCCTGTGAATTTCAGAATCAAATATTTAAAGAGCCCCTATGATGAAATATTGTCAATTTGTTGTAAGTTTTTGAGAGAAGTAGGTACTTCAAGCAGACATTGCTGCAAAAATGCTCGTTGAAATAAATTTCATTATTCTCATAAACAGATGGTTATGTGAATGCACGATAATTTATTCACCTAGCATGTACATAATCATCAGGATGAAACAACTCTTAGATTTTAAGTATTATTATATTAAGTTTTTGTGTTTGCAAA